GATTTCCATAAAGTCAAACTGTTTGCAGGTATTTCTAGGACATGTTAACCTGATCCTTCTATAAATACAAATAGAAGAAATATATACAAAACATCCACTGACACCATAGCAGGTTCATGGGAAGTAGGCATGTGGGCATGAAGCCAGAGGGGGAGACAGTTCCATTTCCCAGCTCCTCTGGCCTTTCCTCTCCTTGACTTGCCTATAAGACATCTCAAATTATTATTATTTGTATTACCATTGCATTTAGAAGCCATAGTCATGGACCAGGACCCCATTGTGTCAGGCACTATACAAACACAGAACAAAAAGATGATCCTTGCCTCACAGAGCTTACACTTAAGTATAAGACTAGAAACTGGTGGACATAGATGGGTAAATGGGGGAGTACAAGGAGAGTGGGGTGACAATAGGGCTCAGCATGATAGGCAGTGGCATAGCAGGCATCAAGTGTTGTGTAGGCATCACGGCTAAGGAGGGTTTTAGAGGAAGATAATGAGAGAGCTTTGCAGACATTTATGGGGAGGAACAGCATGGGATAAAGCAAGAAATTTTAAAAAATGTGTGATGGATGCTGGCATCATGGGCTGATTGAAGGTGGAGGCTGACCTCTCAATAGTAAATGAAAGTTGATAGGGTAGTATGGGGATAAGGGCCTTGAAAGTGAAGAAAAGAAAGTTACATTTGATGCAATAGAGAAGGGTGAGCTAGTGAAGGAATACAAAGAGAGGGGTAACATAGTCAAAGTGATAGGCTAGGAAAATGATCCCAGCATTCTGAATGGAAATGAGTGGGAAAAGATTGCAATTGTTGAGGCTAGAGAAAAGGATGTTGCGGTAATCGAGGTGCAAGATCATGTGATCATGGATAAGTTTTAGCTGTGTGGATGGATAGGAAAAGCTTTATCTTAGAGATGTGATGCAGAAAGAATTGGCAAGATTTGACATAGACTGGATTTGAAGACCTAGAGGGAGGTTTGAGTCAAACAGAGTTACGGGCCTGAATGACAGGTAGGATAGGTAGGATAACGGTTTTTTCACAATGGTTGAGAGAGGAGGTAACAGGGAGGGTTTTGGATGGAAGAGTAAGAACTCTGTTTTAGACATATTGAGCTTGAACTGACAGCTAGACATCCATGAGCAGATGTTAGAGAAACAGGCCAAGATTTTAGTTTGCAAAGATACACACAGGTCTGGAGTAGAGAGGTACATCTGTGAATTGTCAGCATGGAGATGGTAGTAGAATTTGTATTTGCAGATGAGATTACCCAGTGATAAGAGGGAGGGAGAAAAGAAGGGGAGCAAGAACAGAACCCTGTGGAGCCCGTAGAGAAAACTGGAGGGCAGATGAGGAATATTTTCCAAAGGACACACTGAAGAAGTGATTAGAGAGGTAGAAGGAGAACTAGGAGAGAACAGTCATGGAAGTAAAGGGAGGACAAGACCTCAAGAAGAAGAGCATGGTCAACAGTGGCGAAGGCAACTGAAAGGTCAATGACCATGAGGATGGAGTACTGGTTCTGATTTAATCTTCCATAAAAGCTGAGATCGGGGGAGGCAGTACGTGCAGCAAGTAGTTGAGATCTCTTGTGGAGTGGGCCTGGGGTTTGAAGTTAGTGATCAGGGCTAGAGATTTGGAGCCAAAACTAGAGAGGGAGCAGAAGAGCCAGTAAAAAAGAAAAAGAAAAATCATTGGTGCTCATTTAAAAACTACACACCCAGCAGATTAATCAATGCTCAAATCCTGGCTAACACTCAGAACTTGTCTTGCAAAACAGAAGGAGCCCCTCCAATAAAAGCTTGTGAGCATCTGCTGAAGAAAGCTCAAGTATCTACAAATGTGAATATGTAAAAATTCACAGGAAAGAACTGAACTCAGACTCACAACATGTACTTATGAATTCATTCAGCATATCTGTAACTATTTACCTGAAGAAGAGCTCTGTGTAAGCTCAAACGCTTGTCACTCTCACCAGCAGAAGTTGGCCCAATATATTACCTCACTCACCTTTTATCTCTTAATATCCTGGGTTAATATCCAACATGGCTACAATAATACTTCATACTGTTTATATATCTATACTCATGATGTATATATTAAACTGTAAAGATATTCCAATATTTATATAAAAGTACCTTAATGGTTACTTTATCATAATAATTTTCTTAGTTTCAGGGTTATGTTAATCAGTGAAACAATCTAACTGTAAGTTAATGTTTTTTCAGTGAAAATTAACTTCCTGTAATTGTGACAAACATGCAGAAGTGTTATATCTGTAGGAACTCATGTTGGGACAACTCTTGCTTTTATTGATGTCAGTTGCAAAATTCCCATTTATTGTAATGGATGTTGAATATGTCCCTAAATAAAATAGCCATATGCAATCTTCCAACTGGTGTTTATTCACTTGTCATTTCTACTGATTATTCTAACAATACTAATGCAAATATGGTTCTTTTATTCAATAGGGTATCACATTTGATGAGTTCAGATCATTTTTCCAGTTTTTGAACAACCTAGAAGATTTTGCAATTGCAATGCAAATGTATAATTTTGCAAATCGTTCTATAGGACAAGGTGAGAATTATTACTTTTTTGTTAGTAAGTGATAAAAACAGATCTTTTGTGCAACTTGCAGTCCTGCACTTGTCCTAACAATTTTTCATCATAACTGGATATTACTAGGAAAATAGGATATAACTGTTTTACTTGATATTTGAAAATAAAAATACATCTGCTGTTTATCAGAAGATAGTGCTGTCTTTTTCACCACTTTAGATGAACATTGTCATTTAAACAGATGCCATCAGTGCAACCTAATTTAATCATTCTTTTTCCTTTAAAAATTGAAAAATATTTAGCTGAACTTGATTAATACTAATTATTTCCTTATTTTGCTAATTAATGTTTTATTAGTGTGCCTAGAGATCTGTTGCAATTTTAGAAGATATTATACATACAACGCATAGACTCATAAACTTTAAGCCCAGAAGAGACCATTTTGACCATCTCTGATCACCTGCACCTCATAGGCCACATAACCTCACCAACCACCTCTGGTAATAGATCCATAATCTCTGGCTGAATAACTGAAATCCTCAAATCATGATTTAAAGACTTCCAGTTACAGAGAATCAGGGCCGGCTCTTCCACTAGGCAACCCTAGGCAGTCGCCTAGGGCGGCAGGATTTGGGGGGGGCGAGCATTTTGCTGCCCTCAGCGGAAATTCAGCGGCGGGGGGTCCTTCCGCTCCGGAAATTCGGCGGCGGGTCCTTCACTCGCTCTGGGACCCGCCGCTGAAGTGCCCCGAAGGCACGGAGTAGAAGGACCCCCACTGCCGAAGACCCCAGGCCCCCGAATGCTCAGAAGAAGAGTGCTGCCGCCTAGGGCGGCAAAAACCCTGGCGCCGCTCCTGCAGAGAATTCACCATTTACTCTGCTTTAAACCAGCAAGTGACCTGTGCCTGATGCTTCAAAGGAAGGGAGAAAAACCCCAGGGTCTCTGCCAATCTGACCTGGGGGGAAATTCCTTCCCAACCCCAAATGTAGCGATCAGTTGGACCCTGAGCATGTTGGCAAGACCTCCCAGACAGACACCTGGGAAAGAATTCTCTGTAGTAGAGCCCTCCCTATCTACGACCATTGGGGATATTTGCTACTAGCAATTACAGATGGGCCACATGCCATTGTAGGCAATCTCATCATACCAACCCCTCCATAAACTTTTCATGCTCAGTCTTGAAGCCAGTTAGGTTTTTTGCTCCCCTTGGAAGACTGTTCCAGAACTTCACTCCTCTGATGGTTACAAACCTTCATCTAATTTCAAGCCTCAACTTGTTGATGGCCAGTTTTATATCCATTTGTACTTGTGTCAACATTGGCACTTAACTTAAATAACTCCTCTCCCTCCCTGGGATTTATCCTTCTGATGTATTTATAGAGAGCAATCATATCTCCCTTCAGCGTATCTCCCTTCAGCCTTTGTTTGGTTAGGCTAAATAGGCCAAGCTCCTTGTATCGCCTCTCATTAGTAGGCTTTTCATTCCTCTGATCATCCTAGTAGCCCTTCTCTGCACCTGTTCCAATTTGAATTCATCTTTCTTTAACATGGGAGACCAGAACTTCACACAGTGTTCCAGAGGTCTCACCAGTGCCTGTATAATGGCAATAACACTTCCCTGTCTCTACTGGAAATACCTCGCCTGATGCATCCTAGGATTGCATTAACATTTTTTCACAGCTTCATCGTGATGGCGGCTCACAGTCATCCTGTGATCAATCAGTACATCCAGGTCTTTCTCTTCCTCTGTCACTTCCAACTGATACATCCCCAGCATATTATAAAAAATGCTTGTTGTTAGTCCCTAAGTCTGTGACCTTGAACTTTACACTATTAAATTTCATTCCATTTCTATTACTCCAGCTTTCAAGGTCATCCAGCTCTTGTATAATATTCCAGTTACTCCATACTGGCAGTACCTCTCAACTTTGTGTCATCCTCAAATTTTATTAGCATACTCCCACTTCCTGTGCCAAGGTCATGAATGAAAATGTTAAATAAGAGTGGTCCCAACACCGATCCCTGACAAACTCCACTAGTGACCTCCCTCCAGCCTGACAGTTCACCTTTCAGCATGTCCCGCTGGAGTCTCCCCTTTCATCAATTTCTTATCCACCTTTCAGTGCTCATATTAATCCACATCTTCTCCAATTTAACTAATACTTTCCCATGTGAAACTGCATCAAATGCCTTATTGAAATCCAAGTAGATTAGATTGCTGCCTTTCTTTTGTCTAAAAAATCAGTTATCTTCTCAAAGAAAGAGCTCAGGTTGGTCTAGCACAATCTACCTTTTATAAAACCATGTATTTTATTCCAGTTACTGTTTTCTTCTATGTCCTTAACTACTTTCTCTTTCAAAATTTGTTCCAGGCCCTTGTATACAGTTGAGGTCAAACTAACGGGTTTGTAGTTTCTTGGTTTGCTTTTTTCCCCTTTCTTAAAAATAGGTACTATATTAGCAATTCTCCAGTAATAGGGTAGGACCCCCGATTTTACAAATTCATTAACTCCCCTCTATCCCTCCCCTCCATCAATATTGTCCTCAAATAATCTTTATAATCTTGCTTCATTTGTTAAAGAAAATACATACATAAGTGTAGATTTGGGCTCGTATTTGCAATACTTACAACTTTCAAACAATTACCACATTTCTCAGTTCCTTCTCATAGTGCCTATGGGATACAATTTTCCATGTTTGGCTTCTGCCCATAGGTGTGGGGGGGGAGGGGGGGAGCAATGGCACATAAAAAGCCTGTAGTGAGGGGTGCATGTTATAAACTTGAACGGTTGATTGGATCATAAACTTATAAGCAACTGAAAAATTGCTTCTGAACATTCTCAGAAGTATCTGCACAATCTTTCATCTCCAAACTTGGTACACCACCTAATGTGTACCAATAGGGCTTTTGTCTTTGGATAGTGGATCAAGGAAAGAGCTTAGAGGGGAAGTGCCACCTAAATCTAGGGTCCTTTATATATAATACAAGCGTGATATACTGCATCAGATCTCTGTTATGATACGCTTTCCAATTATATGATTACACACAATATAATACATTTTGTAAATTGTAATCTATGAACTAAATTCTCTGCTGGTGTAAATTAATTGATTTCAATTAATCTACATCAGTTTTCACCAACGAAGAATCTAACCCTATATTTTTTTTCCTATACAACTTTTGATATCCTTACTTTTGACTGCTTAAATGTGCAAATATAACTTAGCAATAACATCATTTTTGCATTTCATTACATATAGTTCAATAGGAAAGTTTATGCTGAAGAGGGTATATCACAACATGTAAGCTTTTATGATATATCGAAAAATTAAAACACATAATATGACTTCTATGTTTTACTTTTTTCTTTTGATGTATTGTTTACATAGATGAATTCAAGCGTGCTGTGTATGTAGCTACAGGCCTGAAGCTTTCAGCACATTTGGTGAACACAGTCTTCAAGATCTTTGATGTTGACAGAGATGACCAGCTGAGTTATAAAGAATTTATTGGCATTATGAAGGACAGATTGAATCGAGGGTTCAGGGTAAGAATATCAATATTATGTTTATTTTAATTGATTCAGAATTGTCAAAGTAGTGAAAGTAGCCTGTGAACTAACAGCTGATTGAATCTTTATATTTTGAAAAACTTAGGAAACAGTCTGGAAGATTAATCTCTTCCTGATTTGTAGAAGTTTGTTATTCTGGGAGAACCATAGATGGGGTGCAGGGTGTGCCTTTACAGTACAGGACCACCTCGGAAGTGCAGAGTGCTGTCCTATACACGCTGCCATTTCTGCTGGTTGGTGTGGAGTGGTTTGGAGTTGGAGGTTTTAACAGGTACTGTGTTTGTGCCTGGACCATTGGCAGAGGAGAAAAGAGGAAGGTGCCTTCCACCTGAGTCCTTGTGTATCTGTGCAAAGGCAGTTACTGACAATGGGTGTCTGCAACAGATACAGCTGATCAAGGTTTTAATTAGTGAAATTAACAATTAGTGAAATCATGCTGAGCATGATTAGCTGCAAGTGTAGCCATGGACCAAACTATATTTCTGTGCTCAGCACTAGTTAAGACTCTCTTTTCAGCAGCAGCTGTGAGGCTTGGGATTTTTTGTTTGTTTGTTTTTGTATAAACAGGGTTATTGTGGCCCACAGCTACTTTTTGATAATTTAGGTCTGTTTCTAGCAGATTTAAAGTCAACATTTCAACCCAGAAAGATGGGTAGGGAATAGGAAATCACTTGGTAAAAGTTGGAGAAAATGAGCCAGTAAACTGACTGGAGCTTTGCCATGGGGCAGACCTGTAAACCTCACTACTCTCTACACTCTTCCCAGTCCACCAGCAAAGGAAGGAAATTTTGGGAGTGTCAAAGTTTAAAGGAGAATTTTTAAATAACATTGGACAATTGGGACCTACACCTGAACATCGTTGCACAGTGGTGTTACGTGATTGCATAGCTATTTTGCTAGACTTATGAGTTGATTTGGGATTTAGAAATAATTTTAGATTTTATTTTTAAATGGAGCAGTTAGAAAAATTCATGTATCATTTTAGAATGACCATATGAAGTCCCACGTTTTTCTTACTGTTTTTTATATAGCAATATCACAAGTTATTTATTTAAATTTAGTTTTTAAATGTAATATGCTCTTTTCAAACTGACAATATAACCATTTAGATACAAGCTTTAAACTCATACTATAGAGTACAGTACTTGTTAAATTGAAATTTGGATTTGTTTTTTCATAATATTTTACCCACTGTATTACTCAATTTTAAAGTAGAATAGATTTCTAAATTGACTAATTAATGTTAGGTCTTGTGTAGAAGGTGATGTTGAATCTCGTAGGTGGCTTGGCTTTCTTTGTTATATTTTGACCCTGTGAAGAAAACATGTTGATAGCATTCGTTCAGAAATGGTGACACAAATGTATTTCCTGCTGATGCTCAAACCATAATTTTTTTTCTTGATAATGTGGAAGTATAGTTGTTTTATAACCATTAGTTAATCATGCAGTTAAACATCTATGTTAACTAATTGTAAAGGTGTAGTATATGTTAACTTAAGCAATGCATAGAGTAGTTACTAAATAATTATTGTGAATATGGAGTATATGTATGCTTCTTTTTAATATTATTAAAAAGCAGGACAGAAATCAAATATAAGCTTTAAAAGTCATCTTTGTCAGACACTATTTTGCTTTCCATGTACCATGCTTTCCTTATAGGCAACTTGAAAAGCTCTTGGCTCACAAAATAGGGAGTATACTGCACACGCTAGGCTAGATTGTGATATCTTTACTCAGACTGAGTGGCACCTTGCTCCACAAGTGATCCCATTGATTTCAATGGAACTACTCTGGGAATCAGGTGCTACTCACAGTGTGTAAGGGTATCAAAATTTGGTCCCATACTATAGGGACAACAATGATATAGTCACTTTTATTTTTTAATTGTATTTATTTTTCTTACAAGGGTTATAACTACCCATTGCCTTGTCATATGATTCCTAAAAATATATTATTTCCGCCGGGAAAGTAGAACTCCAGGACACTCTAGAAATAAACTTCATGGTGCGAGTATCACTTTTTAGCAAGGTTTCAGAAGTAATGCAGAAAACATGTCAGCATATACCATGTGTAAGTAATGGTGTCTGTTGTAAACCTCTTGCAAAATTCTTTTTTTTTTAAATAAAGTCTAATAAAAAACAAACAAACATTATTGAGTTGTAGAATGAAAAGGAAAAAGGGCATAGCATGTAGCACCTTACTGCTTTTTACATGCCCAAATTGGCAGGAAGTATCTATGATCTTTCAAGCTGCAGAAAGTTGCAGATATGGCCTCAGTGGCCAGGATAATTTCTTTCCAACTAATTTGACCTTGCAGAATTATACAATATTTATTGTTGCCAAAGCAAGTACATTGTAACTCTTTAGCCACGATTATAGTCGCATTTATAGTGTGCTGAAGCAGTTGTCTCATGCTAAACTGAAATTAACATATAAGTAACAAAGCTAAGGGATGGTAGGAAGGAAAACAGCACACTAAAGATAATGGATTTCAAGAAGTCAGACTTTAGCAAACTCAGGGAATTGGTAGGTAAGACCATGGGAAGCAAGTGTAAGGAGAAAAACAGTTCAAGAGAGATGGCAGATTTTCGAAGAGACATTATTAAGAGCACAAGAGCGAACTATCCCACTGCAAAGGAAAGATAGAAAGTATGGCAAGAGACCACCCTGGCTTAACAAGGACATCTTCAATGATTTGAAACTCAAAAGAGTCCTACAAAAAGTGGAAAATAAATCAAATTACAAAGGATGAATATAAATAAAAAACACAAGCAAGTGGTGACAAAATTAGAAAGGTCAAGGCACTAAATGAGTTTAAATTATCTAGAGACATAAAGGGTAACATGAAAACCCCAAGGATAGGGTAGGTCTGTTAATTCAGTGGGGGGGGGGGAGAACAATAACAGGAAATATGGAACTGGCAGAAGTGCTAAATGACTTTCATGTTTCAGTTTTCACCAAAAAGATTAGTGTCAACTGGATATCTAACTTAATGAATGCCAGTGAAAATTAGGCATGAGCAGAGGCTAAAATAAGAAAGAACAAGTTAAAAATTACTTAGACAAGTTAGATGTCTTCAAGTCACCAAAGCTTGATGAAATACATTCTAGAATACTCAAGAAGCTGACTGAGGAGATATCTGAGCCATTAGCAATTATCTTTGAAAAGTCATGGAAGATAGGACAGATTCCGGAGGACTGGAAAAGGGCAAATATAGTGCCCATCTATAAAAAGGGAATAAGGACAACCCAGGGAATTACAGACCAATCAACTTAACTTCAGTACCCATAAAGATAATGGAGCAAATAATTAAGCAATCAGTTTGCAGACACCTAGAAAATAATAAGTCAGTATGGATTTGTCAAGAACAAATTGTGTCAAATCAACCTAATTGCTTTCTTTGGCTTGTGGATAGGGCGGAAGTGGTAGATGTGGTATATCTTGACTTTAGTAAGGCTTTTGATATTGTCTCACATGATATGCTTATAAACAAACTAGGGAAATACAACTGATATGGAGCTACTATAAGGTGGGTGCATAACTGGTTGGAAAACCATTCCCAGAGAGTAGTTATCAGTGACTCACAGTCAAGCTGGAAGGGCATAACGAGTGGGGTCCTGTAGGGATCAGTCCTGGGTCCGGTTCTGTTCAATATCTTCATCAGTGATTTAGATAATGGCATAGAGAGTACATTTATAAAGTTTGCAGGCGATACTAAGCTGGGATGGGTTGCAAGTGCTTTGGAGGATAGGATTAAAATTCAAAATGATCTGGACAAACTGGAGAAATGGAAGTAAATAGGGTGAAATTCAACAAGGACAAGTGCAAAGTACTCCACTTGGGAATGAACAATCAGTTACACACATACAAAATCGGAAATAACTGCCTAGGAAGGAGTACTGCAGAAAGGTATCTGGAAGTCATAGCAGATCACAATCTAAATATGAGTCAACAGTGTAACACTGTTGCAAAAGAAAGCGAACATCATTCTGCATATGCGGGAGTGTTGTAAGCAAGACACAAGAAGTAATTCTTCTGCTCTATTCCACTCTGATTAGGCCTCAACTGGATTATTGTGTCCTGGGTGCTACATTTCAGGAAAAATGTGGACAAATTGAAGAAAGTCCAGAGAAGAGCAACAAAAAGTTATTAAAAGTCTAGAAAACATGAACTGTGAGGGAAGATTGAAAAAACTAGGTTTGTTTAGTCTGAAGAAGAGAAAACTGAGGGGGAACATGATAACAGTTTTCAAGTATTTAAAATGTTGTTACAAGGAGGAGGGAGAAAAATTGTTCTCCTTAACGTCTGAGACTAGGGCAAAGAAGCAATGGGCTTAAAAGGCAGCAAGGTAGGTTTAAGTTGGACATTAGGAATAAATTCCTAACTTTCAGGGTGATTAAGCACTGGAATAAATTGCCTATCGAGGTTGTGAAATCTCCATCTTTGGAGATTTTGAAGAGCAGATTAAACCAAACACCTGTCAGGTATGGTCTAGGTAATGTTTAATCCTGCCTTGAGTGCTGGGGACTGGACTAGAAGACCTCTCGATTCTAGAAGACCTTCCAGTCCTACGATTCTATAAAGTGGTTTCTTAATAAATATAATGATGTGTTAAGTCCATAGCAAGTTTTGCAAATTCCATTTGCTAAAAACATAACTGGGTGAGACTAATAGCCCTCTAGCCCAGTATTCTGTCTTCTGACAGTGGCCAGAACTAGATGCTCCAAAGTGAATGAGCAGAATGAACAGGCAATTATCAAGCGATCCATCCGCTATCATCCCCAGAGCATGGGGTTGCATCCGGGAACAGCTTGGCTAAGAGCCGTTGATGGACCTATCCTCCATGAACATATCTAATTCTTTTTTGAATCCAGTTATACTTCTGTCTTTCACATAATCTCCTGGTAATGAGTTTGACAGTTTGACTGTGCATTGTGTGAAGAAGTACTTCCTTGTGTTTGTTTTAAACCTGGTGCCTATTCATTTCATTGGGTGACCCCCCCTTGGTTCTTGTGTTATGTGAAGGGGTAAATAACATTTCCCTATTCACTTTCTCCATGCCATTCATGATTTTATAGACCTCTATCATATCCCCCCTTAGTCATCTCTTTTCTAAACTGAACAGTCCCAGTCTTTTCAATCGCTCCTCAGATGGAAGTTGTTCCATACCCCTAATCCTTTTAGCAGGGCCGGCTCCAGGCACCAGCTTCTCAAGCAGGTGCTTGGGGCGGCCGCTCCAGAGAGCGGGGCGGCACGTCCAGGTATTCGGCGGCAATTCGACGGACGGTCCCTCACTCCACCTGGGAGCGAAGGACCTCCCGCCGAATTGCCGCCGCAGATCGCGATCGCGGCTTTTTTGTTTGTTTGTTTTTTATTTTGGCTGCTTGGGGCGGCCAAAACCCTGGAGCCGGCCCTGCTTTTAGTTGCCCTTCTCTGTACTTTTTCCAATTCCAATATACCTTTTTTGAGATGGGGCAACCAGAACTGCAGCCAGTATTCAAGGTGTGGACATACATGGATTTATATAGTGGCATTATGATATTTTCTGTCATATTGTGGATCCCTTTCCTAATGGTTACTAACATTCTGTTAGCTTTTATGGATAAAAGAAGACTAATAGCTTCTGCTGATACAATGTTTTATATCTGCAGAGAAGCATTTGGCAGGTCAAACTTTATGAAGGTCAAATTTAAACTTATAAAGTCCAGATTCAGAGTTTTAATATTTTAATATGAAATACCATACACCCACATAAGTCACATCAGTCTTTGTTATTAGCTAAAAATATCTACCAGTAGTAAGAAAGAGTAATAGAAACTAAATAACAGCAAGCATCTGTTTGGAGTGTGGCTTTTCTAAATGGCAATTCTTTTCTGTATAATAAGTAGTTCTTGCAATTATAGATGATTCCCTTCAATCAGAGGCCCTCCTGTATTGTAGCTTCTCATGTTAGTTATAAAACCCGGCAGTTTTTACTGTAGTTTCTCATAATAGCCAAGTAAGCTTCAATTTACTACATTTTAGAAAGACCCTGCAATTGTATCTTTTGAATTGACATGTCATGTGACTGTTTTGATATTGTTATGATGATTAATAAGAGAAAAAATCCTCTTCACTTTGAGTGCTGCCTTGAAAGGAAAAATAATATTCTGTTTTTTTGATTAGTTGTTTAAGCAATATTTCCTAATAATGGAGATTCTTTAAAAATTCTGTTTTATTGAGGATGTTTTGCCTGAAAGAAAAGCTTATGGTTATTACAATTAATAGTAAGTATTTTAGCACAAAGTGTTCTGTGGCCACATTAAGCCTGAATAAAGCAAGTGCACTTAGTAAAGCTCCAGGCTAAGTGAACTGGAATTCTAAAAAGATACGGTCAGGACTGTAGGTTTTACTCTATATAAGGGATCATTCACTTGAATGTCAGTTAAAGGACAAAAAGTTATGGGGATGGAGAGAGGACCAGATACTAATCTTTATACAGAATTAACAAGTATACACAGTAATTTTCTCTTCCATTGTCTAACACTGTCTACTTGTCTGACTGGATTACTTAACACTATAAATTAGATGTCTATAACAATTAAAACATTATGTAAACTAAATTTCCAGTACCTGCCTTCATAAATGGAACATTCAAGAAACTAGCATAGACATAAAACAGTTGAATGTCTAATAGGTTTTATATTATTTAACAAAATGTATCTCTCTTTTTCAAGTATGCGACTTAACGTTAAAAGATAACTGTTATAATGTGAGAGAGAGGGTTTAATTTGAAAACTGCTTTTGAGATGATCTGATGTATTTAACTGCCACCCAGTGGTCAGTCAGAATATTGCCATAGGTTTTTTGTTAAAGCTTGTACAAATATTATATAGTAGGAAGGCATAACAATGAAAACTATTTTCCTTGTTTTTTGCTTGATTGAAGATAATGATTTTAATATATTTTGTTTTAAAAAATAATGCTAAACCATTTCCCTCTCCTTTATAAATTTTATTTTCAATTACAATTCATTTGAAATATAAAGACTGAATGATAAAAACGTTTTACCTATAATTGACTATATACTCTGACTAACTTCTAGCAATTTGTCGTTTAATCCCCATTGTTTTGTATTTTCATGCCACTGTTGTCTTTTGCTTACCTCTGGCTGCCTTCACATGTTGTCTGCATCTGCACACTTCTCCATCTTCTGCTCCACAGGGATACAAAACCGTACAGAGGTATACCACTTTCAAAGCCTGCGTGAAGAAGGAACTCTATAGCAGATAAGTTACGGTATGTGGTAGCTGCTTAGTCTCTCTAAGTGTGCTAGCATGCTGATGGGAATGACTGCATGTTAAACTGCCACCATTATGTTTTCCCATTACAGAATTAAGGAATAGATTATCAGAATGTGATCGTCATAGTATTTTACAAGGTCATATAATTCTATTTTTAGACTTAAGACTCTCTCAGGCTATCATTGTTTTGTTGGCTTATTGCTTTGTTTGTACTGTATTCAAGAAAACACTTCTTCTCCCTCTCCCACAGCACAGATTTTGTGAGTTTCTGTTGGTATTTTCTGTCTGTTCTGTAACTAGTTTTAATCATGCTTCAGATAACTCTGTATGATATATATGGTAGTAAATACTTGTATAGTAAAGGTAGATTTTCCCTCCTCCCACTGAGAAATAGTTATTTAATTTAATTCCACTTTAGTTTGAAAATGTACATATTTTTAATAGCTTGATGTATTTCTAACATTGCTACTTGAACTACCTTTCTGTAGAAAGCACGTGTTGGTGCTTTTTTGTGATTTAAGGTTATAAATGCCAGTGTTTATTCCTTTCTGTGCATAATAATTATATATTGTATAATAGCTACTCATAGGGGCATTAACAACTAGCTTAGGTCCCAAACATAGTTTATGAACGGAGTGGGGGAAAGGGGCCTATTAGAATCTGGACCCACATGCCACTGTACAATCACAAATCTCATAGACTCATAGACTTTAAGGTCAGAAGGGACCATTATGATCATCTGGTCTGACCCCCTCGCATGCTGCAGG